AGAAAACGGCTGCCGCGAACTTCGTCGAAGGTCCGGGGGTTCGTAGTGGGTTCGTGGGATTCTGTGTCTTCTGTAACAGCTGGGGGTTTAATGTGTGGATTTGTAACGAAGCCAGGGGCTATGGGGGACAATGTGATTTTCGTTTGCTTTGTGCAAAGTAAGTTCAATGCACGGGCGTCTTTTACAAGACCAGCTTATGTCTGGCTCCAACAAACAAAAAAACAATATTATATTTCCAGGGGCCAGGACCCCTGTAAAACCTGGGATTCTGTCTGAAGTAGAACCGCAGCCTTTTGGACGTAGAAGAAGTGTGAAAGCAAACATCGACACAGCAGGGGGGCCATGTACGGTGATTCAGAATTGGCAGTGAGGACAGTTATGGAAAGTATGAAGCCAAATGTCACAAAAATATTCTAGTAAAGGTTCACACAGACGCTTACTCGACTAGTATGAATCATTCCATTCGTATTCCACAATGTGTTTCACTTAAAGTCGAATCGAAGGCGAAGTCGAAGTCGTCGCCAGGAGAGACACCAAGAAGCCGGGAGATCCATGAACCTGGGCATCTGTCATGACACTGTCGAACAAGAAAAGAATCGGCGAGGCAACTTGCGAGAGTCTAACATGCACCGGACATCAGCGACTCTGCGACTGAGTTGCGGGCAGGGCAGTCTCGGATGTGGCTGAGCCTGGCAAGCGGCAACATTGACCAACAACAGGCTTCAGCGAGGAATCTCCAATTTGCCGCACAGTTAGCCGAGACAGCAGCAATCATGACATTTTCATGGCTTCAGGCGGCGACATGCTGGTATCCGAGCTCAAAATCCGAGAGTGAGATTCTCACACTCTTCCTACCGCCAGCGATGCACTTGCATCTCCATGTTCGATTATGGCATATCTAGACTGCAATACTCGACACAGACAAGCTATCCAAGGCCAAGGCCAAGTCGAAGGACGATTCGTATGTATGCATTAATCGTATTTAGTACATACAGGACTGAGGCCATTGGCCTAGCGAATGACATGGAGAAATCAGTGTCCGGGCTGGCCCCGCAGGTGATCTCTCGTCACGGCAGAGACGAGAGTCATCTCGAAATCTTGAAAAATGGCGGCCACGACACCTTGTCTCTAGAGGACGACGTCCACAAGTAGCATGATTCTATGATGCTGTAAAACTTACTACGTACCAGGACTAGTACGAGCACCAGCAGTTCAAGTTCTATAAAAATATATAACTTTGATTTGAACAGCAGTACAGTACTACGAGATTCGTTGTACTGCAAGTCTCATTTCAAATTATTAGGACTAGTGGTAAAACTACTACTACTACTACTACTGCTAAAAATACAAATCATTATTATGTACCAGAACTTCTACTAGGAGTACAAGTACTCCTGCTACTAGTTACTAGGTACTATTACTATGGACGACTAGTACTACTACTACGACTAGTACTACTAGGACTTTTTACCACCTAGTAGTACGTACTTTTACGACCACGACTAGTCCTACGACTACTATTACTACTACTACTACTACTACCAGTACTAGTATGACTAGTACTAGTACTACTACTGCTATCACTACTACTACCACTACCACTACTACTACTTTCTTTTTCTTCTGCTTGTGCTACGTACTAGAGTAGTAGTATTATTACTACCACCGCTACTA